AAGCCCAAGAACGCGCCCAAGAGGGCCCCAAGAGGCTCAAATACCTCCCTTCCCCTCATTGCCCCCCGCATTTGCCTGTCGTCCTCCTCGTCCTCCACGTCCTCGTCCACGTCCACGTCGTCGCCCTCCTCCTCCTCCTCCTCCTCCTCCTCCTCCTCCTCGTCCTACTCCTTTTCCTCCTCCTCCTCCTCTCCTCCTCCTCCTCTTCCTCCTCCTCCACCTTTTCCTCCTCCTCCTCCTCCTCCTCCTCCTCCTCCTCCTCCTCCTCATCCTCCTTTTCCTCCTCCTCCTGGCACAAAATGTTTCACAAATCTCTCCTTTTCTTCTTGTGTCGGGCGTTCCCGACGAGGGGTTCGCGCCAGAACGGCGCCAGTCGACGCAACGTGGCCGGACAAATCCGCCCCCCCCCCCGAAAGGCCGCCGCCGCGTCTTCACGGCAACTGGAGAATAATCCGCCGCCGCGCATGCACGGCAATGGTGTATAAGAATGCCCGTGGGCTGTCTGGCTGGGTTTCTATTTTCTTCTAAAGGGCCCCCCCACGCTACCAACGCCGGTACGAATGCACCCCTGTGAGTATGTACGCCGCCAGCATGTACATCACAGCGCACGCGTACACCACAAAGCCCGTGTACACATCCAGGTGCCCGACGGTGTCAGGCTCCAAACAGCCATGGCCAGCCCGAACGCATCACACCCAACATGGAAACTGCTTGTGTTTGGTGTTTCCTGGCCGCGGGCACGGCCCCGTCCTCCATCGCTTGCGCGCACGACAGGATCTGTGTACACCACAATGCGAGACACCACCACGCCCGTGTGCACCACAACTGCCGCCGCAGCCGGCGTGTGTGCGATGAACACCGAGCTGCTTGTGCACTCCAGTGCTGAGTGCGCGCCGCCGCACCTGTCTGGGTGCCACGACAGCCTCCGCGTGCCACGCGCCCTTAAATACCACAAGCACGTGCCTGCACACACTGCAAACGCGTTGCGCGCGCCCCACGAACAGCAGACCTGTGCGCTAAGCAACAGGCGCTGCGCAACAGGGGTGGGCAGGGCGGCGGGCGTTATGTTATCTACTGGGTGGGCGGCTGGGTTTCAGTCCACATGACGCGCGTTATGTGCTCGAGTGGAAAATTACAGCCCTTGTCAAGAACTGCAGAGGGTGCCGAAGGCATCAGCATGATCTCCGTATTTCCCACTGCTCACACACCGCATCGTGCAAAGCTTCACCTGGCCTTGACGGACCCCCTTTTCGTCGCACCATCGCTACTTCAACACCCGTCTCGCAACAAGTCGCCTGATGATCGTTTCTGGATGCCGTGTCGTGAGACCTGTCCCAATCCCCAGTGGGGCAAAGTTCCGTAGCTCCACCAGTCCACCCATCCGAGGTGGAGATGAGTGCAGCGAAACCCGACAGTGAAGAAGAGCAGGTATCCCCGCCGTTTGGGGAGTAGGTTGTACATCGTCGCCAGGTGCTCCCCAGCAGGGATGGGGACAGGTCCAGTGATGCCGATGGACAAACGAGTAGGGACGCGCGAAGCGTCAAGAAACCTCGCGCAGGGACGTGGACCCACACTCAGACCGCAGCTCGCTGGCGTGAAGCCTGGCAGCCTTTCATCGGGTGTGCCGAAGATGAAGGGGCCCCAGGACACACAAATAAATACACACAAATACAACCATTCCCCATAATTGTCCATATTTCCTGGGTTTCTGTCTTCCCCCCCCCCCCCTTCCCATATTTTTCTCTAGATTTTCCTGGGGATCGACGATTAATTGTGTCTGTGTGTTTCCTTCCCTCCTGAAAACAGTGTTGGGGGGTGCATCGTGGCCCGAGGCACGTGTGCGCGGACGGGTGGGGGCCAGCAGACGCGCTGAAAGAAGCATCCGCCGACCCCTTGAGGCGTGTGAGATGGCACCTCGTGCATTACACTCTCCTGCTCTTTTTGCGTGCTGCTTTCGTGGCTCTCCACCCTGCATGAACAGGCGCCGAGACCCCCGCCGCGCCCCCGCCACGTCTGACATCCCCGCCTTCCTGGACGCTCTTTGTGTGCCGTTTTCGAGGCCCCCTACCCTACACAAACAGGCGACGTGACCCCCACCGCGCTCCCACCACGTCTGACATCCCCACCCTCCTGGACGCTCTTTGTGTGCCGTTTTAGAAGCCCCCCACCCTACACAAACAGGCGCCGGGACCTCCATCGCGCCCCCACCGCGCTCCCACCACGTCTGACATCCCCACCCTCCTGGACGCTCTTGCTGCGTGCCATTTTAGACGTCCCCCACCCTACGCAAACAGGCGCCGGGACCTCCATCGCGCCCCCACCACGCCTGACATCCACCCTCCTGGACGCTCTTTGTGTGCCGTTTTAGAGGCCCTCCACCCTACACAAACAGACATCCCCACCATCCTGTACGCTCTCTATGTGTTGTTTCAGAGACCCTCCACCCTACACAAACAAGCGCCTGGACCCCCACTGCGCCCCCACCACGTCTTCGCGCGCTCTGTTGGAAGCCCCCCAACCTACACAAACACGCGCAGGAACCCCCACCGCGCCCCCACCACGTCTGACATGCCCACCTCTCGGACGCTCTTTTTGCGTGTTTTTTTGGAAGCCCCCCACCCTACACAAACAGGCGCCGGGACCCACGCCGCGCCCCCACCACGTCTGACATCACCACCCTCCTGGACGCTCTTTGTGTGCTGTTTTAGAGGCCTTCCACCCTACACAAACAGGCGCCAGGACCCACCCCGCGCTTCCACCACGTCTGACAGCCCCACCACGTCTGACATCCCCACCCTCCTTGGCGCTGTTTATGTGCTATTTTAGAGGCCCTCCACCCTACACAAACAGGCGCCGGGACCCCCACCGCGCCTCCACCACGCGCGACATCCCCACCACGTCTGATATCCCCACCCTCTCGGACGCTCTTTCCGCGTGCTCTTTTGGAAGCCCCCCACCCTACACAAACAGGCGCCGGGACCCACGCCGCGCCCCCACCACGCCTGACATCCCCACCCTCGTGGACACTCTTTGCGTGCTAGTGTTGATGCCCCTCACCACCACGTCTGACCTCGCCACTATTATGTACCTCCTGTGCGCGCTATTTCCAGGACGCCCCCCCCCTCCCCCTTCCCCAAAACCACCACCAAGTCTGAGATCACCAGCCTCCTTGACCCTCTGCGCGTGCGTCTTTAAGGACCCCCTCTCCCCCCCCACCCACCATCACCACCACCGCCGCCAGCACCCCGCCCCACAAAAACACGCGCCGGGGCTCCGCCGCGGCCCCCCATCACATCAAACACGCACACAGCCTCCTGGAACCTACGCGTGTTCTGAATTTTCGAAGTCCCACAATGCAAACATAAACGCCGCGACCACCCCATCCCCCTCCATCACCACGTTTGACACCCTCCGCATCCTGGGTCCTCTATGTATGCGGGCCCTTTTGGCGGCGTTCAAAATGGCTCACCGTCTGCACTGCACATTGTCATAACCAGCAGCGGCCACAGCGCCCCAACAAGTTGGGCTACATCACGATGTGCTTCTATTTGTTCTTCTGAATTTTGGTCACCGAATTCTAAGTCCTCTCGGCGACCTCCTTTTCCTATGCTCATCATGTACGACGCACTCGTTGCACCTTTGCTTCCCATCTGGTCTTTTCCACGTCCGCTCGGCCAGCCAGCGGTTAAATTCCACCTTCGGGTACACGTTCTTGCAAGCTATGCATGTGCAATGTCCGCGCTGTTTCTTCGTTCCGTTCACGCATTCCTCGCACTTGCGATGCTTGTCTGCGACGTTCTTCCACATCCGCCCAGCGAATGCGGCCTCCCCTTTTTCCTCGCGCCCTTTTTTGCAGCCAAATACACAAATCCGCAGACCCCTCGTGAGTCTCTAGGCGTCTGGGATGCTTCCCCCTCCCAAAACATCCGGGAATTTGACCCCCCCCTGGCCCAGGACGATTCCCCAGACGCATCCTGTTCCAAGACGCCCACAATGCCCTTCAGACGGCCCAAGAATCCTCCAAGACAGCCCAAGAAGACCTCAAGACGGCTCCACAAGAGAAAGCCCGGAACGCAACTTGTCGAACCCGGCCCCAAGACGCCCACAGCCTGCCCCAAGTTCCCACCAGCCATCCGAGCGGCCTCAGACCTACAACCCAAGCACGGTGGCGGGACACACCGCAAGCCATGGGAAGGTCATATGGTCGACAAGGCCGCGCTCCCGAAAAATTCAAGGATCCCATCGACGGCTCCCCCAGGACCGCGCCGCGGTCAATGCATCCAGCACCACCGACGAGACACACATACCAAAACCACATAGCGCACCCGTCAAGGCATATCACACAACCAGCGAGCCCCAAACATAAATGGGTGATCCTATGTGTTACAACACAAACATGCCTACACACCCAGTGGGCCGCAAACCCTTCTCTGGGGTCGGCGGCAGAGGCGGCAGCCTTGCGATATTTGGAGATCACGAAAGAAGAAGAAGCAGATGAAGAAGAAGATGAAGAAGAAGAAGAAGAATAAACATAATGATCAGTATTAGAAGGAGGAGAAGAAGAGGAACAAGGAGACGAGAGGGCGAAGCAGGGCCCACGAAATCGGGGAGGTCGCGCGGCCCCGGTCATGCTGCCCACGCCACTGGCCCTCGCCCCTCCGTTGCTAAAGGGAAATTAGGACACACAAATAAATACACACAAATAAAATTAGTCCCCATATTTTCCCATATTTTCTGGGTTTTTGTCTTCTCCCCCAATTCCCATATTTTCCCATATTTTCCTGGGGATCGACGATTAATTGTGTCTGTGTGTTTTTTTCCCTCCTGAGCTGCACGTCTCCGCGACTTTTGCGCCTCCCTCGGGGACCAGGGCGTCCACCCTCAGAGAGCGCACGCTACAGTCGGGGCGTTGACCTGAGGAACCCGAAAAATAAGGAACGAGGCCCCTGTGTTCCATAAGCTAAACTTCGATTCCCGATCGAACACACGAGGAAAAAACCTGAGGCAAGCTGCGAAACACGTAAGGAACACGGAGCCCCTCCCCAACGAAAGGGGCTCCTTCTTCAGGGCCCCGACTGTAGGCGCCGGCGGGGCCTCTTGGAGCTCACGCGCCCGGCAGCATCAGCTCGTCACCATCCTCTGGGGGGGGGGCGGGGGCCAGCTGGGGCAGCCTCTCACGCCGCGGTGGCGCGGGGGCTGGGCCGTGGCACTCCGCGGACTGTTCAACCTCGAACGATCGCCGGCTTCCGACACCGGATGTCGCTCAGTGCTGGCCGAACTCGGGCAGCTGTGCGCCAGCGCGGGCGTCGCCGCCGCTTCGACGCGGCGTCAACCCGCCGCGCCCGCCAGCGCGGATACTGGCCAGGCACGTCCCAGGCACAGGATCGGTGGAATACGCCCCCCTTGGGTTCGCTGGGCGGGTGCGCCAGCACCAGGGGGACAGCTATGGCGCGATGCTGCTACTCCTCGGTGCGCTCTGACCATACACGTCGGCCAGAAGAAGCAGGTAAGAACACGAAGTAGGAACGCGACTGAAGTTGATTGGGCCCATGCCCCCCAAGAGCACAACAGAACACAGCAAAAGCGTGTCGATTCTTAAAGTAGGAAGGCGCGTGAAGCAGATGTGGGCTCTGGGCATCCCAACACACCTACTCTCAACAAGGGCTCCCAGCTTCGCGCTTCGCGCTCCGCGAAGCGCGAAGCGCGAATAACTTCGCGCTCTCGCGCCGCCCTCCCAAAGGGAGAATAGGAGGACGAGGAGGAGGGGGAGAAGGAACGAGGACCGCGAAGCGCGAAGCGCGAATAACTTCGCGCCCTCGAGGGAGCCCTTGCTCAACGACTGGCGTGCACAACCCGCGTCTGCAAATTCCTCGGGCGCGCCACGTGCCCTGGTGGATCAGAACGTCCCCGCTCGTCGGGGGCGTCCCCGTTCGTCGGGGGCGTCCACGAGGGGGGGCCACACAGTCCTGGCCCAGGGAGGAGGGAGGAGGAGGGAGGAGGAGGGAGGAGGAGGGAGGAGGAGGAGGAGGAGGGAGGGGGAGGAGGAGGAGGAGGAGGAGGAGGAGGAGGAGGAGGAGGAGGAGGAGAGGAGGAGAGGGAGGAGAGAGGGAGGAGGAGGAGGAGGAGGAGGAGGAGGAGGAGGAGGAGGAGAAGGAGGAGGAGGGAGGAGGGAGGAGGAGGAGGAGGAGGAGGAGGAGGAGGAGTAGGAGGAGGAGGAGGAGGAGGAGGAGGGGGAGGAGGAGGGGAGGAGGAGGAGGGAGGAGGAGGGGAGGAGGAGGAGGAGGAGGAGGGGGAGGAGGAGGAGGAGGAGGAGGAGGAGAGGAGGAGGAGAGGAGGAGGAGGAGGAGGGGGGACGTGCGACGGCGCGTGCAGTCCTCGCGCCGTCGGGCGGGGACCGCCGAGGGAGGGGCGCAGGGGGCTTTTCTTTCGGGCCACGGCGAGCCCCGGCCACGTACGGGCTCCCCCGACCTGGATCGGCGAGGGGCCCCCAGACATTAGAGGCCCCCCCTGGGCCCAGAAGGGGCCCTCGGCCCAGCGTCTCGGCTGCAGCCCCGAGGGACAGACCCCCCGACCAGGGTCGGCGAGGGGGCCCCAGACATCGGAGCCCCCCCTGGGCCCAAAAGGGGCCCTCGGCCCAGCGTCTTGGCTGCAGCCCCGAGGATAGAGGAAAGAGAACTATGCACACACACACACACACATACACACACACACACACACCGATTCTGGCCAGGCCCAACCCCTGAGCCCAGGATGGGTGCATGCGCCCTCCTACCGGTGGCCGCGACAGCACACGCACTGGTCCTGGGTCAAGGATGGGCGCTGTCGAGATCGGTGCATGTGCATAATTCTCTGCGCCCGAGAGGAGAACCCGGCCGTGGCCACGAGGGCCCGCCAGGACGAGCGCAGCGGCAGCGGCATCTCGCCCTCCTCGGAGGCACGCCGAGCTCTGCTCCCCGGGCTCGGAGGCTGCTAAAGCTGCCCCTGGCCCGAGGTGCCCCCGGATTTTCGATCGACTCTGGAGCCCCATGGGGGCCCCCTGGGCCTCGTGAGGCGTGCTCTGGAGACCATAGGAGGCCACCTAGGAGTTTCTGGGGGCACCTTGGGCCAGGGTTGTGGATGCCATGACAATGGACACTCGAACAGTCCTATCATTGAATCTAAAGTGTGTTTCAAATGTCGGAAAAATGTTCTCAAAATGTTTCAAGCATGTTTTTACACAGCTAAGACATGCTTGACACATGTTTTAGACATCTGGAAATTGCTTGCCAGCATGCTTCCTCGCCAGCAATCGACCTCCGAAGGGCCAGGGGCACTTCTGGCAGCACCCGACGGGTGGGCTCTGGGCGAGTGTCCTCCTCCTCCCCCCCCTCCTCCTCCTCCTCCTCCTCCTCCTCCTCCTCCTCCTCCTCCTCCTCCTCCTCCCCCTCCTCCTCCTCCTCCTCCTCCTCCTGGCCCCGGGTCCTGGCCCAGCTCGCCGGACGCCTCGAGCCGCTCGAGCTCGCCCCACTCCCCGCCCTGAGGCCCCGGCACCCTCGGCGGACGAGGCCGGCGGCCCGGCTCCCAGTCCTCCTCGGCGGGGGGAGGGGAGGGGGAGGAAGGGAGGGGGGGAAGAGCCAAGGAGGAGGAGGAGGAGGAGGAGGAGGAGGAGGAAGCGAGGAGGAGGAGGAAGCGAGGAGGAGGAGGAGGAGGAGGAGGAGGAGGGGGAGGAGGAGGAGAGAGGCGGAGGAGGAGGAGAGAGGGGGAGGAGAGGGAGGCGGGAGGGGGCGGAGGAATGAGGGAGGAGGGCAGCGAGGGGAGTAGGAAGGACGAGGAAGGAGGAAAAAGATGGGGAGGAGAAAGATGACGAGGAGAAAGAAGGAAAGAAGGGGAGGAGGGAAGGAGGGGGATTAAGAGGACGAGGAGGGAAGATGCAGGAAGGAAGGACAAGGGAAATTCGCCGGCCCAACGGGCCAGAGGCGTGCTAAGATCTCCGGTAACTGGTTAACAATATTTCTAGTTCGCGCGCGCGGGGCGGCCCCTGGGGGTCCCCCGGCGAAAAGTATCCCGACCGCAGCCCGACCAGGTCTACTCAGAGATGGTTTTGAGGGCCTTTTTTCGACACCCCTCACGAGGATCGTGGCCTCCGAGGGGGGTGAACTCGACTACCCCGCCCCAAGAGGCCCCCAAAAGCCCCCCAAGAGGCCGAAGGGGGGGCCAAGACGCCGCCAAGGAGCCCCAAGAGACCCCCAAGAGGTCCCCAAGAGGCCCCTAGGAGGCCCCAAAGAGGCCCCCAAGAGGCTTCAAAGAGGCCCCCTAGAGCGCTCGAGGGCCGGCGGAATGGGCGAAGCGATTAAATAATGGAAGGAAGAGGGAAACAGGACCAGAGAAGAGAACGGAGAGAGAGAGAAGCGAGGAGGAGGACGGGTGTGTGCCCCCAAGCCTCCTTCAACTAAGGCCCCCAGAAGAGTCGAGACCTAAGTCCTAGGGGGCCCACCTGCTTGTTTCACTTCTCACTGCCGCTCGTTATGCCCGCACTTTGTTGGCTGCCGTAGTGAGGCCATATCACAATCTCGCTTGCTGCCCAAGCGCAATGATCATCCGATCATTATCTGTGCTACATAAAAAGGAGAAGGGAGGGAGGGGGGGAGGAAGAGCAGGGAGGGGGTAAAGGAGGGAAGGAGGATAGGGGGAGAAGGGGAAGGTGGACAAGAAGGTGGGAGGAGACAGGAGGGAGGACAGGACGATAATGGCGTCATGATACGATTGGCTCATCATGCGTTCTGCGAGCTCTGGAGTATCTAGCGGCGCTCGTCCCCTGAGCCTGCGCGGACTTGCAGAACCACTTGAAGACATGGGAGCCTATCATGGAGGGTGCGCCGCTGGATCTCCCCAAGGGGGGGGGGTTAGGACCCCCCCCCCTTCCCCGATCCGTCGTCGGGGACCCCCCCCCCTTCCCCGCCCCACCTTCCCCGATCCGTCGTCGGGGACCCCCCCACCCTCCCCCCTTTCCCCGACCCGTCGTCGGGGACCCCCCCCCCCTCCCCCCGTTTCAAAAAGGGGGGGGGGGGGTCCCAACCCCCCCCTTCCCCCCCTTTCGCCACGCCGCCCCCTGATTCCGGAACCCGACCCCGCCACCCCTACCCCTAGTCCTCTCCCTAAACCACAACCCCTAATCCTAACCCAAACCACTAACCCCAGCCCCAAAGAGTACTCACTACGCATTACTCATTACCCACTACTGACTACTCGCTATTCGCTATTCACTTTTCGCTACCCCCTGCTCACTACTCACGACTCACTACTCACTATACACTACTCACTACCCACCACCCACCACTCGCTACTCACTACGCCCTACTCACTACTCCCTCCTCCCTACTCACTACTCACTACTCACTCCTCACTACCCACTACTCAGTACTCACTACTCACTAAGCACTACTCACTACTCCCTACTCACTACTCACTACTCATTACCCACTTCCCACTATCCACTACTCACACTCACTACGAACTACTCATTGCCCACAGATCACTACTCACTACCCACTACTCGCTACTCGTTACTTACTACTCCCTACACAATACTGACTACACAGTACTCACTACTCACTACTCGCTACTCAATAAAAACTACTCACTCCCCGCTACTCAGTATTCACTTCTCCCTACTTACTACTCCCTACTCACCTGTTACTACATAGTCTCTCATCACTAGTCACAACTCACTAGTCACTAGTCACTAGTCACTACTCACTACCCACTACCCACTACCCACGACTCACCAATCGCTACTCACTACCCACTATTCGCTACCCACTTCTTACTACTCACTGCTCACTACTCCCTACTCCCTACTCCCTACTCGCTACTCACTACTCGCTACTCCCTACTCGTTACTCACCAAATCACTACCCACTACTCACTACTGACTACTCTCTACTCACCACTCACTACTCACCACGCCCTACTCGCTCCTCACTACTCACTACTCGCTACTCTCTACTCGCTGCTCACTACTCACTACCCACTGCCACTACCCACTACTCTCTATTCTTCACTACTCACTACTCATTACTCACTCCGTACTACTCACTACTCACTACTCACTACTCACTACTCACTACTCGCCACTCACTATTCACTACTCACTACTCACTACACACTAGTCACTACTCACTACTCGCTACTAAGAACGCACTACGCACTACCCACTACTCACTACTCACTAATCACTGCACGCCACCCACTACTCACTACGCACAAGTTCACTACCCACTACTCATTACTCCCTACTCCTTACTCAGTACGTACTACTCGCTACTCGCTACTCACTACTCACTACTCACTACTCGCCACTCACTACTCACTTATCAGTACACACTACTCAGTATTCACCACTCACTACTCACTACTCCCTACTCCCTACTCCCTACTCGCCACACTACCCACGACTCACTACCCCATACTCACTACTCACTACGCACTAAGTCACTAACTCACTACTCACTACTCACCACTCCCTACTCCCAACTCCGTACTCCCTACACGGGGGGGGGGGTCCGACCCCCCCCCCTTTCAACGCCAAGGGGGGGAGGGGGGGGGGGGGTCCGGACCCCCCCCCCCCCTTGAAGAGGGGAAGGGGGGGGGGTTCTGGACCCCCCCCCCGTTTAGTGTATTCAGGGGGATCCACTGGCGCACTTTCACTATCATGATCATGACATCTTTCCCGTCTCAAGAAAGGAGAAGAAGAAGCGGTAGCCTTCTGCGACGTCGTCCCAGCGCAGGAGGGAAAAAGGAAGAGGACGACGAGGAAGAAGACGAGGAGGAGGAAGAGGAGGGAGGGATGAGAATGGAAGGAGGAAGGGGGAAAGGATGAAGGAGGCATAAGGGAGGGGAGGAGGAGGAAGAAGGGAACATATGGAAGAAATGGGAAGGATTAGGAGGGCGATAAGGACCAGTGCAAACCCAAGACGCATCAACTATATTGGAATCAACCATCCCCCAAATTCCCTCTTCATAGGTCCACTACAAGAATTGATTTTTATTGCGGGAAGTTCCCCCGTTGGAAGAAAACCGTTGGAGAATCCCCAGTCCTGCCAAAAACAGGGTTCCTGGTACTTTTCAGCAGTGAATCAACGTGACTGTTGCGCCCTGCAACATTCTTGGACTTCAACACAGCGCATCAACGTGACTGGCACGTCCTGGCAACCCAAAGTCATGCTAGAATGTTACTCCTGGGAGTTCGACCATGCGAATCCTTCAAAGGCTGTTGCAGACTGTTGCGACGAACGCGCGCGACGCCAGAACGAGAGCCACAGTTTGAAAAGGAGCCGCCCTCCCTCCGCGGAAGGGTTGCAAGTGTTCAAGAAACATGTGCGCGGCGCTGACGCGAGAACCATATTTTGAAAGCCACCCACCCTCCATCTGGGAAGCTGCTGCACTCAAGACAACTGCGCGCGGCGCTCAAGGAAGGAAGAGCCGCATGCTGAAAACAGCCCACCCTCCATTCGTGAAACCGTCGCACCTGTCGAACTTCAGAATCAGATTCAGGCCTCGGAAGAAATGAGCGAACACATGCTACATTCATCCGTCGACGCCTTTCCCTCCCCCCAATGTTCAAAGTTGGCGGTGGGTCTGATCAGATGCACTTCGACCGCAGTCCCCCCCGCGCGTGCCAACGTTGAGTTTGGGGGGGGAGGGGGAGTGTTCAGTAATTGTTTCTCGACCGTCTCATTGTTTAATTAATCCCGTCATTTGCGAGTTGGCCGAGCGATTCTGCGGGTAAAGATTTATGCGAGACCATGCTGATGATATATGTACATATATTCATATATACACAGATGCACATATCCATATACAGATGCGTAGACATACGTGTATGCATGCATGTATACATATATATTTGTACATACACACACCGTAATATATGTTTACATACATGTATATGTATGTATATCACATTTGTTCATTGCTCTTGCGCCCGAGTCGCCCCGAGTTGGCCGAGCGATTCTGCGGGTAAGGATGTCTGCGAGACCACGAAGATATATACGTATATATATATAAATATACATGTATATACATATGTATGTATATACATATGCAAATATACATATGTGTATATACACACATATATGTATGTGTACACGCATACATACATACATACATGCATACTTACATACATGCATACATCCGTGTATATCATAGTTTCCAGTGTTCTGGCGCCCGAGTCGTTCCGCGCCCTATTTTCCACGTATTACTCGAATCACTCGTCCCATCGCTCCTCATTTTTCACATATTACTCGTATCACTCGTAAGAAAAAGAAAATAGTTCAAGAAGATTTTTCTCTTTCTACGAGTAATGCGAGTAATACATGAAAAAATATAATGGGATGCGCGAAGCACCTCCGGGGGGGGCCCGGGGCCGTTGGGGAGGTGTTAAAGATAACAACATGCAGCCGCTTTGGCCGTTTCTTGCTTGGCGCCCCGGCGTCGTCGTCGTTGTCAGTCGGCCGCCGCCGTGGTCCGTCGTAAAAGTCGAAATGCAAAGTGTCAAGTTCGATTTGCCCCTGTCTGATTCAGTCCGGAGTAACTCCACGGTTGACGGCTTGATTTCCGTAGTGATTGAGATGACTCCTCTCGGGTCCTCCCCTCGAACATTCCCCCGTGTACCTCTTCCTGTTTGTTTGCGCCCCGATCAGTTCGAGGGCAGCCACGTGCCGGGCAACGCACCCACAGGCCTCGGAACAAATTAGCGAACACATGCCACATTCATCCGTCAACGCCTTTCCCTCCCCCCAATGTTCAAAGTTGGCGGTGGGTCTGATCAGATGCACTTCGACCGCAGTCTCCCACGCGCGTGCCAACGTTGAGTTTGGGGGGGAGGGGGAGTGTTCAGTAATTGTTTCCCTCTACCGTATGGTGATGTGAGGCGAAAAACCCAGCCCGCATAACCGACACGACACGTCCGGGGATGCGACAGGGAGAAGTTCTCAAGAATAGAGACGGATAGACGAACAAAACACGGCAGAAACACAACTTCTCGGATGTCACAGATTTCGTGGATCGGCGCTGGACCCCCCTCCCTGGCGCGCAGAGCATGCCAGGCTCGGCGCCGGAGGCGCCGCCAGTGGGGTCCAGCGCCGATCCAAGAAATCAGAGCGGAGCTGGGAAAGTTTACGTTTGCGCTGTCTGTTATTACTCCCAGTGGGCGGAGGGAGCAGGAGGAAGAAGGGAGCAGGAGGAAGAAAGAAGGACGGAGAAAGGAGGAGGAAGAGAGGAGGAGGCGGAGGAGGAGGAGGTGGTGGCGGTGGTGGCGGTCGTCCTCGATGCCGTCCCAGGGCAACATCGCCTGCGCACGACGAGGCTTAGTCTCCATGGGCTCGGGCACGTCGTCCTTGAGGCGCGGCAGCGAGCCCTGCCCGCGGGGTCGGCGCGGCGCCTCGTCCTCCCGGGGCGACACCACCGACGACAACGACGACGACGACGACGACGACGACGACGACGACGACGACGACGACGATGGCGGCCGCGGCGGCGGCGGCGGCCGCGGCGGCGGCGGCCGTGGCGGCCGCGGCGGCGCTCGAGCTCGCCCCCTCGGGCCGGCAGGGGCGATGACGAGGGCGGCAGCGCCAAGCTCCTCCTCCTCCGTCTTCCTCCGTCCTCCTCCTCCTCCTCCTCCTCCTCCTCCTCCTCCTCCTCCTCCTCCTCCTCCTCCTCCTCCTCCTCCCTTCCTCTTCCTCCCTCCTCCACCTCCACCTCCTCCTCCTCCTCCTCCTCAGCTCCTCTCCTCCTCCTCCTCCCTCCTCCTCCTCCTCCTCCTCCTCCTCCTCCTCCTCCTCCTCCTCTTCCTCCTCCTCCTCCTCCTCCTCCTCCTCCCCCTCCCCTCCCCTCGTCCTCTGCCTCCCCCTCCTCCTCCCCCTCGTTCTCCTCCTTTTCCTCCTCCTCCCCCTCGTCCTCTGTTTTCTGCTCCTGTTTCCCAGGGCGGAAGTGGTCGGTGACACGCCTCAGCCAGCAAGAATCCGCCCCCCACTCAGGAGGTTGAACAATGACAAAACCAAAACACATCATTACAGGGTTTTGTTGCCTGGGTGCTTCGGGCTCTTCTGAATTCTCTCCAGTCTCTGGCTCCAGAGGCTCACATCATCGGGTGCGAGCCCAAAGCGAGCCGAGATCTGGTCAGCAGTCCATTTCTCCCCCCAAATCCCCCGCCCACCAAGTCCCGACGCCTCCACCCCCACATTTGTAGGCGGCTTAATAATGGATCCGTTGGAACGGGCAGCGGGAACAAGATCTATGGGTGTTGCTGGTCGCGGTTCCTTTGTGGTCCACCCTCTGTATTGCGAAGCCCATCCAAAGAAGAGGCGTTCAGCAGCACGTCCTTTCTGTCTTCGAAGGGCGGCCGTCACATCTTGGGGCCTTGGGCAGGTCTTACAAAGAGACTCTACCCCACCCCATCTGTACGCCCCACAGGTCGTGCAACATAGAACCGTCGAGCCTCGGATCTCACGCTGTCCGTCGGCTCCGAAGACAGCTGCTTTCATGAAAACGTGCCGAGGAGCCCCATGAGGACTTCAAGGTCGGCCTGGGCCCCACGGCTCAAAGAGAAAACGTGCCGACCCATTGTGAAGCTCACGAAGGGGCCTGGCTGCTGGCGGTCTCGACCTTTCGCCTCGAGCACGAGCTCGGGAATGTCCTGAGAAGCCATGAAACTTTCGGATGACCACCAGGACCTCTTGCTCCGAGGCCGAGTGAGCCGCCTAACGGACAACCTGCTTGAAAACTCTCCCAACAGCTTTGGCATCTAGGACAGTCGGCTCCCATCTTCGCCTATTTATTCGCAGCATCCGAACCACGTTTAGCGAAGGTTGTGGTCCGACGTACCTCCGCGTCTGCCCAGCTGGTGTGCGCCTTTACTTTAGTGGCAGTGGGGCTAGCACAATCAAAGGCATGGAATACCCGCGACCATAGATGACATCGCGAGCAGCTCGAGTTCATCGCAAACGGCGGGCATCGGAGCGCCCCGAGCGCGCCGCTGCAGTCGATATAGAATTGGGCATCCATACCATCAACAGCACCGCAAGCCCCCCCCCCCCCCCTCCCACATATATATATATATATATATATATATATATATATACATCGCATAATATCCACCGTCTCTCGCCGATTGAAACGGCGCCGCCTCGAGCGGGACGGCGCCAGAGATAAACCGGCCATCCTCACCCATCATGGCTAGAGCCCAGCCCGCGCGGGCTGGCCAGGGGTCCGCCGGGCCACGGCAAGACCCGCCCGAGAAAACATGTCCCCGCAGGACCCCGCCTTCTGGCCGACTCACCAAGGTGATACCTGCTTGACAAGCGAGGAGGGGGAAAAAGCCAGCTCAAATGGGGGCAAGGAAGATGCCTGCAGCCGCCTTTTCAAGGCCCTGATGCCAGGCCTCAAGTCTGGACGCGGCCTTCAGTAACTCCGCGCTGCAGGCCGTGACCCTTTCACCGCGCAAAGCTGGGCACACAAATCGCCGATGCCAGAGGGTCCCACGAGCGGAGCGACACAGCTGGCATAGCGGGTCCTCGGTGAGACCGCGCTTGCAAAGTCTGCCTTGGGTCCAAGTACATTGTGAGACAAGGCTGCGCAGCGAATGCTGATGATGCTTCGACCAGAGGCCGCGCGCGGGCCCTTCCATCCGGTCCAGGAGGGGCTCCCAGAAGACGGGGCGGGCCCACGCAAGCGAAGAACTGCGGGCCGTCAAGGCCGCCGCGTTCGATTTCCTCTGGGCCGCTCGCTGCGCTAACCAAGAAATTTGAAGGGGTGCAAGCGCAAGCAAATCCACCGCTCTACCATCCTCGGTCGCCAAACTCCGAGCATTTTGGACTTGCCAGCCTGGGTTCCTGATGGTTTGCACAAAAACGTGCACCGGTGATTTTACAGCCCGCGAGGCAAAGTGGACCTGGATCAAATCGTGATGCACCCCTTCTAGAGCCTACTGCATGTTGGCCAGCGTGGGCCTCCCTTCCCACAAGGCCTGGGCCCAGGCCGAGACCGCGAATCTGTGGCGAAGGGCCCAAGGGTCCATGCGCTGTCCGATTCCTGAACTATACAATCTGAAGCCTGGCGAAGCCGTGCCCTTTCTTTCGAACGGGGGCCTCACCGCAGAAACTCGGAGACCGTTAAGCTGACGACTCGCGAGGCCGCCCACGACGGCCCCCCAGACGGCACACGCCTGCGGGCCTGGTCGCTGCACTCGGTGGGTAACGGCCCCGCCGCCTCGAAGCTGACGCACATTCCAACTCCTTCGGGCAAATTTTCGGAGTCGCGCAGCCTGAATGGTGGCCCCACGTCGCCGCCCAGCCGCCGTGACCGTCGACCCCAGGCTCCTGGCTGCCTTCCTGGACAGGAACCCATTGACGCGCCAGACTGCTCCAAGCTGGGTCTCAAGGCGCCTCGAGGATGCAACGTAGTGGGTCTTGGAGTTCTCCAGAACCAGCTCAAGCCTTGCGTAGCCTACCACCAGTTTGTCCCCCACCTGGCCTAGCTGCTGCGTGATGGTGTCCACGGTGCCGAGGCACTGGGCATGAACGTCATCAACTACGTTCCCGATATTGACATCGGGGTGGGCCTCCGAAAAGTCTCTGAGGAAGCGGAACAGGATCATCTTAGCAAAAGAAGTCGCTAACGAGCAGCCTGCAAGACTAGTTCCAACAGCGTTGAAAACCTCCCCGACGGCGTTGTGGAAGCTGCGGACTCTGGGCGGGCCCCCCATAGAGCCTGCAAGCAGCCAGAGCGAGGCGCCCATTGAACCCCGTGGCCCTAGACTCCCTCACCCGAATAAAGTGGGGTACTCGTTCGTAGAATTTCTCCAGGTCGCTGAACAAAGTGGCGGACTCAAACTTGTTTAGGGAGGCGAGGTAGTTGTAGAACTCATGTTCCCACCCAGCTCGATCGCACGTCCGCTCACGCGATCCCCAGAAAGAAGGGAGGTCATGGGCGCGCTCCCACTCCTTGGCCATGGACTGGCGCATTCGTGCCCAAACGCGGAAAATGCTTGCAATGAGCGCGATGGGACGGAGACCTGGGCCTTCTGCGTTAGCGATGGAAACGATGATCGTGGGCAACCCGTTGGGAACCTCCAGGTCTCTTTCCCGAGCTGCAATGACGTCGCATAGCCAGCTGAGAAAGTCGTCGGGCAGAAGCATCCAACCTCTGGGATTGATACTGTCGACCCCTAACCCCACATCATGTCTGAACTTCTTCAACGCAGAGCGTATCTGCTCGACCGTGGAAAGGGGGCAGGGTATCAGCTGTGGCCAATCGTGTCTGGGCATCCGTCATAATGGTCTTCGTGTCTTGCCAATATTTGCCCCAGCCCGACTGCAAGTGCAAAACAGCGGCGCTCTCCTGCAGCGGCAGACCTGCGGGCGCAAGGGGAGGGGCGATCGCCGCCGCCTCTCGGGCAATGTTATGCGCGACCTTGCCTCCTCCAGACACTGCATCGTGGGCCCATGCTCGCCAGCGCTGCCATCGGAGATGAGACTGCTCGCGGGTGATACGCTCGGTGAAAAGATCTACCGAGTTGATGGCAGCTTCCAGGGAGTCGCCACCTGATGCCGCCACATCTAACAGAGAAGAGATGTCTCCGATAAGCCCCAGATCTGGTTCCAGAACTGCAGGACCGATCTGCTGGATGGTTCTCAGGAGACCTTCCATGGTGTCCCAGACCCTCGGGATGTCAAGGCCTGCCCAGAAGCCGCGAATCCTGCGCAAGAGTCCCTGGAGCGATTTCCAGTCGGCCTTTCGGCGACACTTCATCTTCCCACCGCCGCCGCAGGAGCAACTGCAGCTGCACTTCGCGACGACGGAAGCCGCCAGCACGTCCACGGCAAGGCGTGTCAGCTCCTTTACAGAGGTCAGAGCGATGACATAGCTGATGTCCCATCTTGGCAAGCCACTGGAGGGTCTCCAGCGGTTCAGGCCCAATGGTGCCTGAGGGGCCCCTTCTGACTGCCAATGGGGCCTCGGTGGGAAACGCTTTCCACGCCACGCGTACATGAACTGGGAGTCTGAGGGCGAATCCTTGCAACGTCAGCTGAACTGGGGTGCGCGGGCCGCATGGAGCAGCATGGAGCGGCATGATATTTTGAACAGCAGAGGCCGTCCCTCTCGACGCGATAAAGAAGTCCAGGCAGCGTGCCTTGCCAGAACCGCTGGAGATGGACGCCGTGTCAGGCGCAACTATCGCCACGTTGAGCAGCTGAGTCAACTTGACCAGTCCAGGCGCGTCTGGGGCCACGAAGAAGTCTCCTGCTAGAACCCAGGGCACCTGGCAACCTTGGAGAAAGACCCCCAGATCCTCCAGGAGCTCGAGGTTGCCCCCCTCGCAGTCCTGGCCATCGCGGGCGCAGAGAGCAATCCAGAGACACCCAGAAGCCACAATCGCATCCACCTTGAGCGCTGCAACTCTTGCAGCACCGGTGGATCGCATTCCCAGATCCTCCCAGGGGATCGTGATCGAGCGAGCGTGGGACGCGACGCCAGCCATGACTCCGGCCGACGTAGCTAGCTAATGGTCACCAGTGCGGACCGCGGCATCGAAGTTGGTCTTGAGGCCCCTCTGGAGGGCCCAGTTGGCGGCCGACCTCTCCTTGGATTTCTCGAGCCGAAACTCCTGTACGATCCAGGCGTGACTGCTGCGGGCCCTTTGGCCCAGTTGCCATTCGAGGACATCCTGGTACGAAACCCACGCGTTGAGGTTAACAATGATGAACCACCAGGTTGACGGCCCGTCAGAGGCCAGAGCGCTGCGAATCCCACGGCTGGTTGCGGAGGAGCAGGCGCGCTCGTAATCGCCGACGTCGCCGTCGCACTCGCCGTCGGGTTTCTGGATGCCGACGCGCTCGCAGGTGACGCCGGTGCCTGAGCATTGGCCGTGAGCCAACTGATGGTCTCGGCCTGGTTGTCGACATGTCGGTGAACTTCTGCCCGGCACTCCATCGGATCGACTTGATCGCGCAGCGGTGTGAACCATCTCCGATAGCCCGCCCTTGCTCGCACTCGCTCGTTCCATGCTCGGGTTCATGTCTCTGGCCAAGTTGGCGCGTGCTCCCAGTGCGTCGATGCCTTAGAACTCAGCCATGGCCTGCAAGAACGGGGCATAGGCCTCGTCAGCCAGCCGCCAGAACACGTATACGCAAGGGGCGCAGTCCTCACGCCTCGCCCAAGCGGCCCTCCGACTCAGTGTGGGCGCCGGATTCAAGCGACATCCAAGCTGGTCATAGCACAAAGGCGTCGGAGGAGAAGATGCTGTTGCTGCTCGGCGCGCTCTCGTAGAAGGGGGTCCAGCTCGAGCTCCTTGAAAATCGTCTCCATCGTCCGCATCTTGCTGAAGGAGAGGCGTCCTGTCTGCAACGGTGCACGGCAAAACTGACGACAGACTGCCAGGGAGGTCACCTCATGGGCTTATTAGAGGCGGATCCGTAACGTGGTTACACGAGCCCGCACACGACAACGGGGCTTGCGCCCTGCACGCCTGGCAGGGCCCCGAGTCTGCAGCGTGTCGGGCTGTGCCCAACCGAGGCTGCTCAGGACGCGAAGTCCAGGACCTTTCCTCATCTCGCCACTGCAACCACGGGGAACTGCCTTTTCGTCCAGCAATCCGTGGCGGACATGAACCAGGGTGGCCACGTCCTGGATTTGCTCCGACGCCGGCGGCCACGCGCGCGCTCATACCCGCGCCAAAAAGGTCGCGCCCATGCATCATCTCGGGGCCCTCGCCGTCGACGCCTATGTCGCTGTAGTCGCTACCTGTGATGCCGCCCTGGCTCTCTGTGGTCCACCCGTGGCAATCGACGATGTCCAGGTCGCCCAGCGTCCACTCGCGGCAATCCTCGCGCCGCTGGATCTCGAAGCCGCGGCGGTCGCCCTCGCCGTCGCAGTTGTCCGAGTCGGCGACCGCGCACTCGCCGATGTAGTTCCAGTAGCTGACATCCTTGACGCGGCGTCGGCCAGGCGGGCCGATGGGCGGAGCTGGCCCTTGTCGGCCTGGGTTTGTAATCCACCCTCGAAGTCTCTCATAATCAATGCGGCGTAGATCGAGCGCCGCTCGTAGTTGGGCCGAGTTCAGCGTCGCTAGCCAGCGTCAATACCTGTCTCGGCGGTATCGGCCCCTGTGCCATGCCAACGTGCATATCTCAGCGGCCAATTGCTCCGCTGTCTGGTGCCTCATGCGCAAGACGTCGGCGAAGCGATAGTGCTGCAGCTGCTCGGTGACGTAGCTGGCGCACTAGTCCAAGTAGGCCAGTCTGTCATCATCTCGTGCACCGATGTCTGGATCACGGATCCATCTCGTGGCCCATCGCGAGGCAAGACGGTCCAGTCCTGGCGCAAGGCTGCTGCGAACTCGCCGCTGCTGTGGGTCTGGCTGGTCTCCAGCCGCTGCGGTGTGGTAGTAGGTGTCGGTCTCGTGCTCAACGTGGTCGTCGTAGTCGCCCGCGGCTTCCGAGGTAAGCGCGTAGCAGGACCAATAGGGTCGAGCATGGCTGGCACGGCCATAGTCACCCGTGACTGCTGGGACCATCATGCTTGACAAATCTGCATGTTCAAAACTGCAGCGGCTCGGATGCGTCGGCTGGTCTGACCAACTATCATCGCCCCGCTGCCCCTCGAAGTAGATGTGGTAGTAGTTGGGTTCGATGCCGATGCTACCCCCGCGGCGGAGCCTTGCTGGCCGCTGCAGCAGCTGCAGCCTGGGCCAGTTTCTCCTTGACATCCCTGACGACAGATGGAGTCTCGCCCGCCGCCGCCGCTGCCACAGAGGGCGCAGCACCTGGTGGGCCTGCCTTGCCTTGCCAGGCGGCGCCTTGGACGTCGGCGGTGCCTCGCCCCCACCGCTGTCGCTTGCGTGTCCAGGCGTGGTCCCTGGGTCGCCCCGCGGCTTGGTCTGGTCTGCATCGCCTTCGGCATTGGGGCGAGGTCGCTTGGCTTTGAGTCGCTCCTTCTGCTTGGCCTGCTCCTCCTAAATGGCCGTCGCTTTCGCCTCGAGGTCTCCGAAGCAAGCCCTGGCAGCCTCAACAAATTGCGTTTGGAATTCGTCCTGGCGCCGCTGGGCTTCTTTCTTATCGTCATCTGTGACCACGCCGCACAATTCGTCAAGCCCGAAAAGGCCACCGTCGTCCAGGAGGAATTCTTGGCCTCCCGATAGCGATACCAGGTCGATGATGGGTACAGCGTTGTGTTCTGGCTTGGCGGCATGTTCGTCTGCAGCAACGGAAGTGGCGAGCCTCTTGACCGCCGCATGGTAAATGCTTCGGGCGAGATCCACTTCAGCTGAGGCCACCGCAACCTCTGCTTGAACCTCGTTTTATTCGACCCGAACGAACTTCCCCACTGCACGGCGTAATCCAGCCTCTGACTGCTTGACCCGTTGGGTGGCGGCTCCGACTGTGATCGATGCCTCCTGCTGCGACCGCCGATGCTCGTCGAGTTGTTTCTGGTCCGACATCGCCCGATTGGCCCACGAAGTTGACCAGCGCCTTGAGGCGTTCCTCCTCGGGGGCGTCGAAACCGAATTTGTCGAACTGTGGCCATGTGGCCCTGTGGCGTCTTCCTGGCCAGGGGCGGTGCCGCCGGAGAAAGAGACGTCGGGTGCCCGAGACCTGCTGGATTCGGGCCGCGCTCCACCTCCAGGCGGTGCCTTGCCCCACCATGGGCGCCACGAGGGTCCGGCAGCTGCATCAGGAGCTGGCGACCGAGCACGATCACGATCGCCGCCTGAACTACCCGAGCGGCGGGGCGGCTTACCCGACGGGTTCGGTAGCGGGGCCCTGCAGTGTTTGCGCCACTTCCACCACGATATATTCTATATTATTATGCATCCGCAGTCTGGGTATCGTACGAAGGTGTCATCGCCGCCCATGTAGCCGCCTTGGTTCTGTGCTGAATGATGATCCGCAAGGAGCCGCCAAGCGGAGGCGGCGCGCGCCAGCACGCGCGCTGCAGTGCGCTGCAGTGCGCTGCTCACGCCTGGGCGTGACCGCACGCGGCCACGGCGCCGCGGCACGCCGAGGGGTATGTGGGTATCCCCCCCTCGACGCGTAGGCGCCGCGGCTCGCCTGAGCCCAGCCTCTGGGCGGGCTGGCCGCCGCTGCTATCGCTCGCGCCCCGCGAGCGGCAGCGCGCGGCGGGCTGGCCCACGCGCGCGAGGCAAGATGGGCTTCCTCCTCCTCCCCCTCCTCCCCCTCCTCCTCCTCCTCCTCCTCCTCCTCCTCCTCCTCCTCCTCCTCCTCCTCCTCCTCTTCTTCCTACTCCTCCTCGGGCAGCAGCGACGGCAGCGGCGAGCTGGAGCTGGCCCTGCTTGCGGGGTCGCCTCTGCTTTCGCCGGGGCGGCTCCGAGAACGATGAGGGCGAGGGTGGTTCGGCGGCGAGCCCAGTTGGAAGTCAGAAGGCTCGGAAGGCCTCCGGCCTTCTGACAAGTTCTCCGAGCCTTCTGCGAAGACGTACGGCACTTCTCAGAAGGCGAGAGGTCTTCTGAGAAGCCCCGCCGCCTTCTGAGAAGGCCCGCCCCCTCTCACCTCCCTCCTGGGCTCGCCGCCGAGGTGGGTGGCGGTGGTGGATCGCGAGGATTAAGATCGGGAGGTTTTGGTGGATGGTGCCAGTGGATCGCGAAGGGGGTCGAGGATCGCGGGGATCGAGGGTCGGGAGGCGTTGGACGTTGTCAGCCTCGTCAAGGCCTCTGAGGGGCTCCTCATTGCCGTGGCTGGGTCCGACCGGGAAAGGTGGCCAGAACGCACCAGGGAGGAGGGGGGCGAACTGTGAACGTGTCATTCCACATGTCTACCCCGTGTCATCCTCGGCTCCCGTGCCCATCGTCTGTGCACGTGCCCCGATTGAGGGGGCGACCTTCTTCGTGCCAACCCCTGGGTAAACCACGACACGGTGAGACAGGCTGTCGGGCGGACGGACTCGAACGGCTGTGTCGGGCGGGCGACCCAAAACGGCAGGTCCAGCCGGGTGGACCCTCCACGGGCGGGTCGGGCGGGACTCTGCCACGGGCGAGCGGGCTTCCCAAACAAGCGAGCGGGAGGGCCCCACGGGCGGGACGAGCTGGAGTGGCATTGAAGCGGGCAGGGCGAGCGGACGGACGCGGGCCGGGCGGGCGGGATATCAGGGCGCGACTCTCCTCATCAGAACGTCGGGAAGTCTGCAGCGAGAGCGAGGTGCCTCGAAGAATCCCGAGAAGCGGATGCCTGAGTTCTCGGGTCGGGCGAAAGGGGGGGATAGCAAAGGGGGGGTTTGAGAATCAGCTCACGTAGCTGATTTTCCCGGCGCCTCCCGGCGCCGGAGGCGGCTATGTATCGAGGAATGGGCCCCTCGGTGAGGCCGAAACCAGCTGCATGCAGCAAATTTCGTAACCCCCCCTTTCCCAATCCCCCCCTTTCGCCCGACCCGAAGTTCCCAGAGCGCGGCGCCCCCGTGCGTGGCGAGGGAGTCCCGAGCGAGCGCGCGACTCCCGCGCGTCGAGGGCGCGCCGCCCGTGGCAGTGCCGAGGAGCCCCCCAGCGAGGGCCCGACTCCCGAGCGAACCCCGCCCAGGAGAGAGGGAGGAGGAGGAGGAGGAGGAGGAGGAGGAGGAGGAGGAGGAGGAGGAGGAGGAGGAGGAGGAGGCGCAAAACCCGCCCCGAGCGTCGCAGGCGGCGCCACCGCGGCGGCCTCTGCGCGCTCGGGCTCGGCCCTCGCCCGCGCCGGCCCCCCCCCACAAGAGGCCGAACACCGAGGCTCCTCCGGCGTGTGGCCACCACCCCGTGGCGCGCAGCTCTCTCCCCCCCGCTGGTCGGGCAAATGGTGACGGTGGGTGGCCCAAACTTGAGCAGGGACCGACCGTCCCGGCATTCCTGTAGTCCTGCCACGAAATGTTCTTAGAACCCAAAGATGTTCTAATAAGGGTTCTTGGAACATTCTTTGGTAGGGCTCGAGGCGAGCCAGGACGCCTCGCCACTGCTTGACACATGGGGGGCGCGTAGAGAAGGGCCCTCAAGAGGAGCGCTTCTGGGGCCCCTTTGGGGGCCAGCTGGCGCCCAAAAGGGGCCCGAAAGGGCCCCTTTTGCAGCCCTCCTCGCCACCCCTGTGGATGATGGGCGCACGATGTTTTTCAACAGGCGATGGTAAGTGTTAGCGCCGGCCCGTGGGCTCTTGAGAAGCCCAACTGGCGCTCAAGCTCTCTCGCGACTCGGGCCGAAAACTACGGAGCTAGAACAAAAAAAACAGAATCGTCGTAACGCTTCTGTGTCTGCACCTCCCAGGAGACTCTGCACCTCCTGGCCACAACCCCCCCCCCGCTGGGCGACTTGGGCATGGCTTAATGGGGGGGTCACAAATGGGGGGGTCAGAAAAGGTCCCCTTTCGTGCCCCTTTCGGGCCCCTCCAGAGCCCCAGGGGGCTCGTTTAGGTACCGTTTGGGTACCCTTTCGGACCACCCGCGACACCCCCCCATTTATGACCCCTCCATTACGCAACGCCCAAGCGACGGAGACGATCCTCCGGCCCGGACGCCTGGGTCCTCTCCTCCCAGAAGGTCTCGCCGCCGGCGCCGGCCCCCTCCGCGGGCCCCCCGTGGACGCTCGTCCGCCGCACGTCCAGGAGGCGCCTCTTGCGCCAGTTCATGATCGCCCTGCTTTGGACGCCCGAAATGGGCACGGAAAGAATGGGCACAATGCCCAACAACAATTTGGAGTCCCGAAACGGTGCGATGACAGACCGTGCGGTGACCTCGAGATCCCCCAAGACCTCACCGCACGGTCCGTCACCGCACGGTCTTGGGACCCCTGAGGCCCCTGTCGCCCGAGACATCCTCGGAGAACGACCCGAGTCCCAAAACCGTGCGGTGACCCCGAATCCCCACTGACTCACCGCACGGTGTGGTCACCACCCCGTTTGGGGGCCCCCGAAACAAATGTTGTCCCGAACCAGCAGCGGCCGCTGCTGGGCAGGCGGCCTTCTGCCTCGAATGGACACCGGCCGCGGCGGCGCGGGCAGCGAATCCTGTTCAAAATGAACAGGAACTGCTGTTGGGCATCGCACCCATTCTTTCCGTACCCATTTCGGGCGTCCAGACCTGCTGTCCGTCGGCCCGAGGACGCCCGGAGGCCGGCCGCCGCGCCGTCCCGGTCTCGCCGGGTGAGGGGGGGGGGTTCTCTCTGGCGCCGCCCCCGGGGAGCGGAGCGGCCCTCTGGCATCAGAGGGTCGAGGAGAGGCAGGGGAGGAGGAGGAGGAGGAGGAGGAGGAGGAGGAGGAGGAGGAGGAGGAGCAGGAGCAGGAGCAGGAGCAGGAGCAGGAGCAGGAGCAGGAGCAGGAGGATGAGGCGGACGGGGGAGGGAGGAGGAGGAGGCGGAGGAGGAGGAGGCGGAGGAGGAGGCGGACGGGGGAGGGAGGAGGGAGGGAGGGCGAGGACGAGCTGGGTGCGCTCGTACCTGCGACCCCGTCCCGCGCCCATGCCTGCCCACCGTGCTGATCTGTGCTGCTCTCCACGGGCGCATGCCGTGGCAGACCTGGAACCACCAAAAAGACCCATGGTGCAACGCGCAATCGAAAACGGGGAGCTGCGTGCAGAGGAGGAGGCGGAGGAGGAGGAGGAGGCAGATGAGCAGGAGGACGGGCAGAGGTGAGGTGGAGGAGAGGAACATCGACGACGAGGAGGAAATGCACCCAGTCCTCCTCGTTGTCCCAAGGGCGTCCTCCTGGAAGCATATCGGAGGACTCTTGGATTTGTGTTGGGTGCCTCTTGGGTCGTCCTGGAGCCTTCCTGGGTCGTATTGCGGCCCTCTTGGGCAGTCTTGGGGACCTCCATTCCCTCGTCACTCCTTGTGGTGGGAGGTTTCAAAATCTCCATCGCTCCGCAGACAAGCATCTTGGAAGCACTCGGAAAAGACATGCCATTATGAAACCCCACCAGCCCTTTGGGCGTGAGTGGTTTAGACAGCCCGCTCTGTTCTCAACCCCCCTTCTTCCCCTTCGGGGAGGGGTTTACCCCTCCCCCTACCCCCTCCCCCTGGGCCTGGAGAGGGCGCCCCGCGGGTCGTTGGAGGGGTCTTTTTCGACTCCTGGGAGTGCTTTAATTCGACACCCCTCACGTGGATTCTGGCCCCGACGGGGGGAGGCAGAAAAGTGCTCGCCCCATCTGTGATCGATCGCCCGACAGATGGCCCCAAGATTCCTCCCAGACCCCTCCCAGAGAGTCCCACGAGGCCCCGAGAGGCCTCCAAGAGGCCCCCAAGATGCCCCCAAGAGGCGCCCAAGAGGCCCCAAGAGGCTCCCCCGAGGCACCCAAGACGCTCCTGGAAGCCCCTGGGGCCGCCAAGAGGCCCCCAAGACGCCCCAAACGGCCTCCAAGAGGCTCCCAAGAGGCCCGAAGAGGGGCACCCAAGACGCTCCTAGAAGCCCCTGGGGCCGCCAAGAGGCCCCGAAGACGCCCCAAAAGGCCTCCAAGAGGCTCCCAACACGACTCACACCACGACGAGGGCCCCGAACGACTCACACCACGAGGAGCCCGAACGAGTCACACCAGGAGGAGGGGCCCGAACGACTCACACGACGACGAGGGGCCCGAACAACTCACACCACGAGAAGCCCGAACGACTCACACCAGGACGAAGAGCCCGAACGACTCACATCACGAAGAGCCCGAACGATTCACACCAGGAAGAAGGGCCCGAACGACTCACACCAGGACGAGAAACCCCAAACGACTCAAACCACGAGGAGCGCTTTCTCTCCCTCCTCCTCCGCCTCGTCCTTCTCCCGCTCCCCCCACAAGGAGGATGTACAAGGAGGCGGGAGGAAGGAGGAACAGGGGAGACATGCGGGGCCAAGCGGACACAAGCCTGAAAAACACGACTGTCGGCATGCTTCGCAAGAGTTGCTGTTGTGAGATGGGCTGGTGGGGATACGCGAAGCGTAAAGAATTCCGTTTGGTCTTCAAGTGTAGGAGACAATATCAGGAAGGTGAGCAAGATGACCCAGATAATGTACCAGGGTGGCCCAAGTAGAACGTAGACAAACAGGAAATCAGAAGTTGCAGGACCACTGGGAATAGAGTGGATGTCTCTGAGGGGCCTTCCCGGAGCCTCTTCGGGCCCTTCTGGAATGTCTTGGGGGCTCACTCGGAGGCGTCTCTGGGGGGGCTAATGACGGTCTCGAAAGCTATCTGGGCCCCAGCGCGCTCCGAAAAGCTCTTCGCGGTCCCCCTCTTGGGGCACTCTTGGGGCCGCCTTAGGGGCCTCTTGGGTCGCCTCAGTGGCCGCCTGGCCGGACTTCGAACCCTCTTGAGCAGTCTTGAAGCTCGTTTGGGGGCCACTGGGTCGTCTTAAGGACACTAGCGTGGGCCTCACCGTCTGGGACAGTTGGCAGCCCCATACAGCGAGAACACCAAAATCACTCAAACCAACGAACATCAGTGATGCTTGAAAGCTTGTGGTTCTGACGTGGTTGATCTTCTTGGCACGCGGGGACGAAAAGAAGGGGGACGATGCCCAACGTCGTCCAGGACCGACAACGACCGCTGTCGGGCTGGCGACGTCTGTCTTCAATGGATGAATTGCACAACACCGGCGGCGGCGCCGACAGCGAGTCGGGCACACAATGGACAGGAACTGATGTTGCTCGCCCCCATTGTTTCATCCCCACTACTGACCCTCCCAATCGATCTGTGGGGGATCTTCTGACCCGGGTCAATCCAGACCCGGGTCAGCAGGAAACCAAAAACTGCAATGCAGGACAAAAAAACTGCAACGCAGGTCTTCGCAAACCCGTGTCAGCCAATATGTGCGGCCGCCTCGCGGCCACGAGCGGCTCGCTAACCCGGGTCAGCCAGAGGGGGTCTTCGCAGGATCCTGCAGGATCTGGCGCTCTGGCTGACCCCCGTTTGCATTGACCCCCGTCTCAAGGCTCGAGGGCGAAGCTGCCGGCTTCCGAAGATGGAGATCACGGTGCCGCCGCGGGAGCGGCTCTGGCCCGGGCTGCAGCGACCCGTTCGCCCGGCGAGGTGGCGGTAGTGGTCGAAGGTGCCGAGCCGGCCCACGATGATCACAGCATCGACCACAAGAGGAGGAGGAGGAGGAGGAGGAGGAGGAGGAGGAGAGGAGGAGGATGGTGGAGGGGGAGGAGAGTAGAGGAGGAGGAGAAGGAGAGGAGGAGGAGGAGGAGGAGGAGGAGGAGGAGGAGGGGAGGAGGTGAGAGGAGGAGGAGGAGGAGGAGGAGGAGGAGGAGGAGGAGGAGGAGGAGGAGGAGAAAGGAGGAGGAGGTTCAAGGGCCGAGGGCGGTGGGCCTCTGGGGAGGGGAGGGATTCTCGCCGCCACGGCCGGATCGGCATCGGCATCGGCATGCTGGCCCAAACGCATCTCGGGAGAGGTCCAAGGGCCGTCTTTGAAGGGGCCCCAGGACACACAAAGAAACACACACAAATATAATGATCCCCCATATTTTCCCAAATTTTCTTGGCTTCTGTCTTCCCCCCCACTCCCCATATTTTCCCATATTTTCCTGTGGAATCGAGGATTAATTGTGTCTGTGTGTTTTTCCTCTCCTGAAAGTTGTTTGAGGAAGATGATCGATGATGATGATGGAGATGTCCGTCCCGTGTCCACTCTCACCAGGCGTCCCTGCAAGTAGGTGCCGCCTGAGAGACGAGCTGTCCGTGGGCAAGCCATTCGGGCAAGAACCCCTATTTGGAAGAAATGTGCACTGCAGCCTGGAATGAGGGTGAAGTCCGAAGAGGCCCGCGAGAGCCCGCCATCCGTCAAACTGCTCCATCATCTCAAACGTATGGTCACAAAACACACGGAAGGCGGAAGCGCGAGCCCAATTTAGAAAAGGAGCCGCCTCCACCAGTTGAAAACAAGAATGTGCCTGGCACCAAAGCGGGAGCTACGCTCTGGAAACGGCCCGCCATCTATCCCTTAATCGGGGGCGCGCAAACATGGACTAGCGATCCATGGATTCGGCGCGCGGTCGCCAACCTCCCCAAGATGCGGCCGGTACCGCCTCCTTCGGCGGCGGAACTCCGCACTCTCCCATGGAAAACGGGACCCGCCTTCCTCCTCCTCCCTCCTCCTCCTCCTCCTCCGCCTCCTCCTCCCCTTTCCATCGCATCCCCCTCTTTCCTCCTCCTCCTCCTCCTCCTCCTCCTCCTCCTCCTCCTCCTCCTCCTCCTCCTCCTCCTCCTCCCTGCCTGCCTGCCTGTGACCGCCTGACGCCCAATTCCTGCAGGCGCTCCACACGCACTCCGCACGAGGCGGCGCCAGGAGGCGAGAGAGCCGGGCCGCGAGAGCGGCCCGCCCGCGGGCCCCGCGCCGCCGGGAAGGAGAGGAGGAGCTTCGGGGCAAGGAGGTCGGGCAAGTCCGAAGGGGCCCAGGGGCACACACAAATAGGTACACACAGATGGTAGGATTCCCCCTATTGTCTCACATGCTCTGGGTTTCTGTCTTCCCCCCCACTTCCCATACTTTCCCATGTGTGTTTTCTCCCTCCTGAAAGTCCTCCCACAGGCAGACTTGGAGACCTTTTTTTTTGAATCGGCGATGCCCGGGATATCCGGGGGGGGGGAGGAGGGGGTCGGCCGATAACCTAACCTTCGCACTGTGGGCAGCCCTGCATATGCCCGCGCCCCCCCACCCCGGACCTGCACAACCGGCAAGGATAGGTTATCCCGAGGGGGGGGAGGGGGGGCAAGCCCGATAACCCGGTTTATCGCCGGACACCCAAAAAAACAGTCTCTTGGGACGCAGAATGAAAAATAGTCAAAGAAGTATTCAAAAAATGTCAGAAAGTGTCGAAAGGTCGTCCCCTGACTAGTTTTTGGACTATCTGTAAGTCTTCCTCCTGTAGAGGGGCATGCCCGACTTCTTGCCAAGAGCCGTGCGAAAGGCTCCGGCGAACGACTCGGCCCGCCGCGTCGACGTCTGGCGTTGCTGCGACGAAGCGCCCAAGTTGGAGCTAGGGGAGACGGAAGGAGGAGGGGGAGGGTTGTGTCGGGCACGCCCCTCTACAGGCGGATTTTGGACGAGAAATAGACAATGTGAAAAAAAAACTCCTAAATAGTCAAAAAATAATCCCCAAACTATGTTTTGCCTAATTTCTGATATTTCCTCCTGTAGAGGGACATGCCCGACTTCAGGGGAGGGGGGCAGCGGGGCAGGGGGGGGGGGCAGCAAGGAGGGCGCAGAGCTCCGGAGCGGGCAAGATGGAGGGATCGTCAGCAAAGGGGGGGGCGAGCGAATCCGCTCAC